GACATCTATTTATCAGATATGCTGCTGTCGAAACAGCCTCAGCCCAAAACACCTTCTTTAATCCCGCACTAGTCAACATGCATCTAACTCTCTCCAAAATAGTTCGATTAAACCTTTCAGCCAAACCATTTTGTTGAGGAGTACCTGCGGTAGTTCTGTGCCTTGCAATACCAGAGGCACCACAAAAACTGTCGAACGCCTCATTGCAAAACTCAAGGCCATTGTCGGTTCTCAACCTCTTTACCTTTCTGCCAGTTTGATTTTCGACAAGAGTCTTCCAACTTTTGAAATTCTCAAAAGTTTCATCCTTAGTCTTCTGGATGAATACCCATAACTTTCTGGAATAGTCATCTACTATGGATAGAAAATACTTTGCTCCTGAATGTGATGGACACCTTGCAGGCCCCCAAAGATCAGCATGGATGTAATCAAGGGATCCATGTGTTCTTTGTTTGCCTTTGTTGAACTTCATTCTACAGGATTTTCCAAGTACACAGGGTTCACAAAACTTCAGCTTTTCGACTTTATCTCCACCAAGCAGATTTTGTTTCCCTAATTCGACCAGACCCCTTTCACTGACATGGCCCAATCTCATGTGCCAAATTTCCGTCTTCGACAAAGGTTTCGTGGATGCAACATTTGTCGAACCACTTACAACTTCATCCTCAAGGGTATACAAGCCTTGTTTCTTCACGCCTCTCAAGACTTCCTTCGACCCTTTCATGACTCTCAGGATACTTTTCTCTCCTTGAAAAACATATCCTTTCTTGTCGAATTCACCAAGAGAAATCAAATTTCTCTTCAAATCAGGTACATACCTGACTTCAGTCAACAGTCTTATTGACTCATCATGGAGCTTGAATCTCACAGATCCAACGCCTGCAATCTTGCAAGCTTTGTTGTTTCCCAGCAATACCGATCCACCATCTTGATCACATAATTCCTCGAACAAGTCTTTGTTTGGAGTCATGTGCCAAGTGCATCCAGAATCCATAATCCACTCCTTCGACGAGTTGTTGCTTGAAACCACAAGAACATCAGATGATTCGAAATCATCTTGGACAATAGCTGCATTGCCATTATCCTTACCTCCATGATCTTTCAGGCGTTCAGGGCACACCTTTCTTGTGTGACCTACTTTCTTACAGTGATAGCATCTAATACCAGATGTGTCACCACTATAAGACTTCGACTGATTTTTACCTTTCTTCTTGTCGAATTTTCCTTTAACAGCCAAACCTTCACCAACCGTCGAAGGTTTATGCTCCTTACGTTCGTTCAAGTCCTTAGAGTACAAGGCTGATTGAACTTCTTCAAAGGTCAGGGACTCTCTTCCATACAAGAGGGTTTCTTTGAAGTGAGCATGTGATCTGGGCAAAGCGCACAACAATAACAGCGCTTGATCTTCGTCATCAATCTTTACATCAATATTTTCAAGATCAAGAATCAGCTTGTTGAACATATCCAACTGCTCAGCCAACACTTTGTCTTCAATCATCTTGAATGAATACAAAGCTTGCTTCAGGTAGAGTCGATTTACCAGAGATTTGGTCATATACAAACTTTCAAGTTTCACCCATAACCCTGATGCCGTCGTCTCCTTTGATACCTGTCGAAGAACCTTATCACCAAGGCTCAACAAAATTGCGCTGTGTGCTTTCTCGATCATGGCCGTCTTCTCTCTTTCTGTTAACGCAGCGTCCATCGCCGTCGCTCCCTTCAACGCTTCCAAACAACCCTGCTGAACCAGTAGGGCTTTCATCTTTAAGCGCCATAGACCGAAATCATTCACTCCGGTGAACTTTTCAATCTCATACTTTGTTGAAGGCATCTTCTCCATGCTCACCGCACCAATTTGTTGTGAATTCAATGCCAATAACAAAGTATAGTATTTGGGAAGAATAAAGAACAAGGAAGAAGAAGAACACAAGAATTGGTTATAACTGCTATTCTTTACTTTCTCTTTGAAAACAAGATTACAAGTTTACAAGGATAACAAATAACCCTCTCACCCTAATTAGGATTTGCTGTGTTGCAATGATGAGAGACTAGTATGCTATTTATAATAAAACCTAACATACTAACTAATGGGCTTTTTCCACAAGGCCCATTATACAAGCTAACTTAACAAACAAGCTAACTTAACAAATTAGGGTTTAAACACTAAAACCTAATTCGACAGGAATCCTTCGACAAATACATGCTGGACCCTTCTTCGACTACAGCATGTACTTCGACCAACTAGAGTTCGATCCAAAATCCCACACACTAGTTTTTCTTGGTTGTTGTAAGCATATTGTATAAATGTTTTATCATTATAGGTGCAAATGTGTATGGGTTCAAATATGTACAGTTCTTTTAGTAGAAGTTTTGTGTATCCCAAATGTCCTTATAAGTATCATAAGTATTGTACATTTGATTTTAGAAACAATTTAAGTTTGGTATTATGTATTATGTTCTGTATAAAATACAAATGATCTGATTTTATCACATAATTTGTAGATTATGCATAAAAAAGATATCAGTTAGTCAAACAGAGATTTAAAACAAACAATAAATGGAAAACAATAGGTTCTACCCCTCGGTTATTTTTTTCCCTCGGTTATTAACAAAATCCGAGAATTATATGGTGCGCTATATGGTTTTGAAAATAAAAAATGTTGATGTTGGGGATAGAACCAATGCCTTTTGAATCATCCCCTCAGTTATTCAGAAATCAAGGGGTAAGGTGGCAGGTTTTCATGTCGCCTTTTGTTACTTCACTTGTCTAACCGATGTAAAATCTCATTTGTGTCTGAGATAAAATGGGTATATTTGTAGTAGTGATTGTTCTATGCTAACAAAAATAGTCCAACATTGTTTGAGAATCAGGGCTAAGGGTAGTTTATACATAATATCCATAAACCTCAACCTAACGAGAAGTGTTTTCTAAAGGAAAAATTGTGAAGGTTCTAACACCTAAAGTGACAATACCTTGTATCCACGATGGCTTGGACATGACATCAATCTGAAACATTGGTGTTGTCTATAGGAACTCAAAGTTTGCACCATGCCTCATAACCTAGACTAGTGGAATTTATTCTGAGCTTGCCAAAAATAGTCTCAGAGTGCTTGGGTGTAGCGGCTAAGAGTATTTTATATACAACATTCATACACCTCAATTCAACTACGCACCTTTTTTTGAAGAAAAAAAAAACTGTGACGATTCTCACACTCAAAGCAAACAATACATTATAGCTACAATGGTGTGTGGGCTTGAGATCAATCTCAAATATTATCTTTAATATGTGATGACAAAGGGTGTATTTGAAGATATATGAATTACACATATTATTGTATCCCTTACAAAGTTATTTAACTTGAATTGATTTATGATACATAGAAGATACCAAATTGATAGATAAGTGACATCTATTATCTGATCATTTTAGTTCAATTAAAGATGATTACTTCATACATTCAATAAATATTGCACAATTATGATATAAGATTAAAAGATCAAAATTGCTACATAATCTAATTGAGACTATTTGATTATTTTATTAATCTATTAAATATGGCTCACATAAATAGTACTTTGACTCTAAATAAAAGATAACTTGACGTGATAGTTGTTGGACTTATCATTATTAAAATCATTGAAAGTTTTTATTTTAAAATTTGAAATTGATTTCAAATCCTGCTTTTGTCCCTTTCTAAAAGTTGAGTATAAAGGTTCTTATAAATAGGAACCTTTAGAAAAAACAATGTTTTTAAGTTTTTCTCAACAAAAAAAATGAAAATGCAGTATATTCATTATCAAAAGATACGTCAAAGAAAAAGGAAAATAAGAGAGAATAATTTCAACCAAAAATGATAACAAAGAATCTACGTTATGGATCCAGATAAAATTTACAACCTTCTCATAGAGATTCATAAAATTGTAAAAAATGGAAATAACAATATCCGAAATATGAATTTTACAAAAGTACTATAACAAGATTATGGTGAGCGATATGGGTGGAGGAGTTGTATCGAAACTCTTGAAAGCGTACTTATTTTAATAGTAGAAAAGATTGAGAAACTTCTATGATAGGATTGAAATTGATATTTCTCAACCCTTAACTTTTAAAAACCATGTGTTTAAACCCCAAAACTAAATTGTACTTAAAGTAACGGTTTAAGCTACGATGAGAGAACTTAATAGGTCATCTCTCACGTAAGTGATGCGCTTTTCATCTCTATTTTTGATAATCAACGATGGTTTTAAACTGTCGCATCATGACGGTTTGAAAGTGTCATAAAACTATTACTGTTTATTTTGTGACGGCTTAAAATTGTCTTAAATAAATTTTAAACTTTTGCGACAATTTGAAACCGTCACAAAATAAAATTTGTGGCATATTAAAACAGACGCTAATTGTTAAAAATTTAAAAAATGAATACAACATTGTCTACGTGAGAGACCTATTACCGCAGACAACACCTAAAAGTAACTAACAAGAATAGTTAAGCATAAGTCCAATATATTATTATAAAAGAAACGTGTTTTTCAAAAGCCAAATAAATATATTTATAAAAAAAAATATGAAAAGCACATGGACTATATCTCTAAAGTATAGAAGAAAATAACCAAAAAGTGATTCAAGATGGTCTAACATTAATTCAGAAAGACAGACATAACTGGAAATCTATAAAAGTAAATAATTTATCAAACATCTTAGCCACTTGCTTGTTGTCATAGAACATAGTGTGAAAATCTTGCTTACATAGATTCACAAAAATGCTCTATTTTACCCTTTGAATGACTCTATTGGAAATAGTGACCCATTATCCTTGCCTTCAGCTAGCCAAATATTTTGTTTGATGTACATTATATTATATTTTTATTGTTCAAAATATTCTATCTTATGAAGGCTATTTTTGTTTTTCTTCCATTTATCTTCTCACATGATCATTATAAATATTTCTCAAATGTACTCAACGCATTTCACAAGATACTCTTAATTCGTTGCAGCACAATGAAAACCAAAATTTTTATCTTCTTGTACTTCTGTTCGTTACTTTATTTCTTTGTTGGGGCAATTGAAACTCCTAAACATAGGAAACAATGTATATACAAAGCTAACTATCATGTATGCGATTGGCTTTTTTTCTATGATATTTATTTAATAAAATCTTTTCTTTATTTGCAGTTGGTGAAACAAAAGGAATGAGAGCAAGTATTGTGTTAGATGGTTATGCAATCTATCGTGGTGGACTTGGAGTCTGGAATGGTGGTGTCATAACCTTTCCCAATATTGGAAAAGGTGCAAACGATAATGGAAATATCATAAACTTTCCGAAAGGTGGAAAGAATGGTGGTGGTAGAAATAGACTTTTGGGACGAAAGTCAAGTGTGGGGAAAGCCTATGTGAAAAACTAATGCATATAAATAAATAAATAAAGCAAGGAGCTTATAAATTCAGAGTATTGCCATATTTTATTTCAGAATGTTTACCACTACATAATGATGATGAAATTTTGTTGAAATTGCTACAAATTTCTAGAATATTCTAAATATAATATATATGGTAATGGTAGAATACCTTAGAAATTAGAATTTTTTTTATTAATAATCATGTATTAAAATAATATTTCGCAAATAACCAGGTTTCGGAAAAAATTACGCAAATAACCATGTTTCAGGTGACTCCTCAAAGGAGGAGCCATCTAAAATGGCGCATGCACCTACCATTTTGTCCTAGGCGCCATCTCACTTGGCGCCTCCCTTGGATTTTAGCCAAGTGAGATGGCGCATGCTCCTTAAAAGTGAGAGGAGGCGCCATCTCACTTGGCTCCTAGGACAAAACTAGGGCAAAATGCTGTTTTATAAATAATTCGTCCGTTTCTCCGAAATTTCTCACACTTTCTGGCACTGTATTTTTATTTTGTACTTTGTTATTTGCGTCATGACGTCGCCTATGATTTTTAGCAGAGATGGTTATGTTATCTTCTCCGCCACGAAACCTACGATGAAAATGAAATTCTGGCACATTCACTCCATGGAGCGTCTGAAGCGGGAGTTGATGCGATGGCTAGATGGAGACATTGCGGAGGAGGAAAAAATTCGAAGGATCCAGCGAAAACGAACAACAACCTCACATGCGACATGAAGACCTAATGTGTGGTTGGAGGAAGTCAAAACAGACAGTGATGTAATGTTGATGATGCATGGGTCAGATGAAATTGTGTTAACAGTTGAAATTTCGTAGATGGAATATCGTTAATTATTTTTGTACGCGTTTTATTAATTGTAGCAAAATCTGTTAACGGAAAACCCAAATGTTTACAACACAATTATGAAAAGATTTTATGTATTACAATATTTATGTGGTCGAGGCAGACGCCCGATTCAGACAGTTTTTGCGATTGTGTCCGACCTGACGGCATAAACCACACTTTCTTTCCAACCTGTCAAGATCGTCCATTTCTGTTGTGATGCGCTTACTTTTGGGACGACCCTTCTTGTTCCTTCGCATTTGGTCATTGTGCCACACTATTTCGCTGTCGTATGCAGGCCAATAATCTGGTTTTGCTACCAAAGGAAAGTTATTGTTGTAAACGTTGAGCAACGTTTCAGATTTGTAAATGTTTGACAGAAGTTGCAGCGCGTCTTGATGGGTATGAGCACAAGCGGAAATGACATGAGAGCAAGGCATACGAAATGCTTGAAACCTGCCACAATCGCACCATTGAGAAGGTAAAATGACCCTATATTCTTATCTTGGCAGGCCTTCATTGTGGTCAATTGTCTCTTTCACAATGAAGTTGTGGCTGTGTCGGTCAAACCGTATAACCATGTGAGTGTTGGCTTTAGCACTTTCAGCCTTAATGTATTTCATGAAGCTTTCACTCCATAGTTGTCCAGATTGCAACACCGCATTCCATATTTCACCTCTTTTGGCAAATAACGCAGCCATCCTAAAATACGTAGATTTTACCAAGGCAGTGATTGGGAGGTTTCGTATGCCTTTGAATACCCCATTCATTGATTCAATAAGATTCGTTGTCATATGCCCCCATCTTTGGCCATTGTTGTATGACCTAGTCCATTTTTCCACCGGAATATTGTCGATCCACCTACCGGCTTCCGGATTAGACAAACGGATCTCGTTACGGTAATATTTGAATGTGTGTTGTGTCAATTCATATCCCACATTCATAACCGCTTTCCTCAATGTTTTGTCCTTGATCTCCCTCGAGAAATTCTGGACGATATGCCTAACGCAATAGACATGCGTAGAAGGAGCGTCATGCCAACCATTTGCTGGATTATTGTAGGCACTTTCAATGGAGGCATGTCTATCCGAGATCAAACAGAGATCTGGTTGAGGAGCCACGTGTGTCCGCAGATTTTTCAGGAAAAAGCTCCAAGCACCACCGGTCTCCCCCTCGACAAGGGCAAAGTCAATGGGGAAAATGTTGTTGTTGCCATCTTGTGCAACTTCCATCAATAGCGTGCCTTTGTACTTCCTATACAACCAAGTCCCATCAATTTGTATAATTGGTTTGCATGATGCAAACCCTGTGATGCATGGTTGAACTGCCCAAAACACGCGACTGAATATTCCATTGCCATTTAGTAGACTACCATCTTAGGCGTATGCTGGCACTGTTTCCAGAACGTAAACACTACTTGGAAAATACGTCTTGAGTGCATTCAGGTAGCGGGGAAGTTCTTGGTATGACTCCTCCCAGTTTCCGTACACCCTTTCAATCGCCTTAGTCTTTGCTAACCACGCCTTACGGTAAGACGGAGTGTAGTTAAAAACCGTGGTGATGTGGGAGATGATTGTTTTCACCTTCAAAGATGGGTCGTTGCTGACCAGGGGTAGGATTTCTTGACAGATTAGATCATATTTGAGTTTTCGGTGGTCCTGTGATTGAGTGGAACTTACACAAGTGTGGGTAGTCATGGAACCTATGACCCAGTAGTCACCCCTTAATCTGTATGATGCGGCCAGCTTGAACATACAGTCAGGGTGGACACACTTGATCTTGTACCTTTCCGGGTTAACACGATCCACCTTAAAATCAACCGAGTTGAGCATGTGGAGTTTTTTAATGGCCCTGATGCATTCCTCTCTGTTACGAAACTTGTCCTTCTCTTTTAAATTTTCATCCGACTGCATATACGGATTGAAAAATAAGTTAGTAGAAGGTTCATCTCCGCCCATGTTGAAGTTTGTCATGTGCGGAGGTGGTGTGTAGATTTTGTTTGCAGGAATACTAGGGATGCCATCATCGTCGGAATCATCATTCACCATTTCATCAAACTCTAACTCGTTATCTTCTTCTTCATCATCAACTGCATCTACCTCAGCTTGTTCATTCTCCAAAGGATCAACCTCATGTGTCACCTGAGGCTCTCGCAGCATAACGTACAACTCAATAGAGTCGTACCCAGAATAGACATGGCTGGAAAACATATTCTGGAGATCCTCGTCATCTTGAACTTCAACCTTATAAAAAATTACTTGGTTGTTTCCAAAGAAAATTGGATTCTGATAAAATATCTGGGACACCGGGCCTCGTTCAAGTTTGGCCTCCAATCTTTTTTTGAAGTACGAGAAATTGGCTTTCCCGTTTAAGAGAAATCGGATGGTGTCTGTGTCTCTAAACAAAAACCCAGCGGTGGGACAAATGTATATCTCACCGTTGAAATGTGCTTTGACGACAAATTTTGGTGCGGAGGCCATTGCGTAGAATTGTTTTAAGGTTTGAAGGTTGGAATGTTTGAATTTTATGAGTGATTCGAAGGTTGGAATGTTTGAGGTTTATTGATTGTATGAAGGTTTGAATGCTGTAATGTTTGAAGGTTGGAATGTTTGAATTTTATGAGTGATTCAAAGGTTGGAATGTTTGAGGTTTATTGATTGTATGAAGGTTTGAATGCTGTAATGTTTAAAGGTTGGAATGTTTGAACTTTACGAGTGATTCGAAAGTTTATATGTTTGATTGTTTGCAGGTTTGAAGGTTTGGTTGTAAGAACGTTTGAAGGTTGGAAGATTTGACAGATTATGTGAATCAATGTTATGATAAACGTAAGGCTAAAAATTTCAATTAAGTAAGGATGCAAACCCCCAAGGCTGCCAATAATGTTACATGCAAGGAATCCCAAAGGCTGTCACGTAGCCTGAGCCTAGGCTGCAACAAAGGACACCTCTGATTCGCCAATTGGGGTGGAGACACCATTCATTTTTGTACTCTTTCGCCAAGTCTAATGGCGCCTCCCTTACTGTCCAATCGTGATACATGCATGCAGATATGTAACCCCCTAGGCTGCCACCTAGCCTGCCCCTAGTCTGCACCTATACATGTATGTTGTAAGTCTCCTCCCATCACCTCCAATGGGCTTACATGCATTCAGGCAAGGAATCCCAAAGGCTGTCACGTAGCCTGAGCCTAGGCTGCAACAAAGGACACCTCTTATTCGCCAATTGGGGTGGCGACACCATTCATTTTTGTACTCTTTCGCCAAGTCCAATGGCGCCTCCCTTACTGTCCAATCGTGATACATCCTTAGGCTTCCACCTAGCCTGCAAGAGTGACACCTTTCATTTTTTGTACATGCATGCATGCATATATGTAACCCCCTAGGCTGCCACCTAGCCTGCAAGAGTGACACTTCGCATGCATGCAAGCACCAGCAACCACTATATGAAATTTATTTGCCTATAAATACATACCATATCATACATCTCTCACACCCACACAAGTCTCACTCTCTGCTACGAAATCTTTCATAATCTCTTAAACTTTCTAAGTCTATCATACTCTCTATCTCTTCCTAAGTCTTTCATAATCTCAAGCATTTTAAACAATGGCTCTTCTAACAATGGGCGATACTAACAGAGGCACAAGGGAAAACATTGTCGCATTTGTAAGTTTCTTTTTTGGTTATACATTTTTCATACTTCAGATAATGCGTTGTTCTTCTTGCTTAATCTTACACATGTTACATTATGAACTCAGGACACAAAAAGATTCAGAATTCGTTCTGACAACTACCTGGCTCCCGACCCATTTATGGTACCATATCTGGAATACGCAGGTTTTGGACATGTCATAAAGATCTTCAGCTGCACCATTGACTTGAAGTTCATTCTTGCAATGTTGGAAAGGTGGAGACCAGAGACCCATACATTTCACCTACCAATAGGTGAATGTACCATCACGCTAGAGGATGTGTGTTGTACCCCAAAATTTGGCCTCCCATATTCCTCAAGATATGTCAAGAATAATCTTCAAATTGTCCAAAAATGGCTCAAGGGTTGTATAGTCAAACCACCTCCTAAGACAGCTGAAATTAGGGTTTTGGTTCTTTCAAGGAATTTGGGGTTTCCAATGGTTCAATCAAGTCTCATGGGCCTATATACATTC